CACTTGGAGAAGAACACACAAGTTCACCTGCTTTCTGTCCACGCATGTAGAATCTCTTTGCTCCTTCGCACCTGGGTGCGCCTGGCGGCTAGGATGGGGGCCCGCTTGGCAGTCAAGTCACCGTGTGTGCGCCTTACCCACACACACACCTGTGTGAAGCAAATCTTGCACGCCCTCATGTCAGTACCCTCTGACGACTGGCTTAGCGGGCCTCGGTGAGCCCCTAAGTCCAGAGGTTAGGGAAAGTTGTGGGTGTCTTGTGGTTCCATCCAACGGTCGGAGGGCACAAGCAACAGAAATGAACTGGAAAGTAAGTAGAAGCCAGAGCCCAGGAGAACGAGGAAGCACATTCTCTGGTTTGGCTCAGCCAGCAGAGGGTCAAGATTCCAATGGTCCTATTCCGGCAGCATCAGTGGAAGCCGGGGGAGGGAGTTGCAAGATCAGGAATTGTGCTTGCCTGCCAGATTGTGCCCACGGCACAAAAGAAAGGGAAAGAATGATCACTGGGGGACACGGATGCGCGCGCGCACACACACACACACCCTGCACACATCCCATCCGTGGAGCTGCCCGGGAAGACGTCTTCTCTTACATCCCAGCTGCCTTTGAAATGCTTCTCTTCCTCACTGGAAGCAGAAATGTTCAAATATCAGAGGGTGGATTTGGAGGCCATGCTGAGGGAGACTGTGAGGGCGGCTCTGTTCCCTGCTTCTGGTGGCTCCCTGCTTCCTTGGCTGGCAGCTTCAGTGCCAAGGGTTGGTTGGTTGGTTTGAATGTCTCAAAGGAGATTAGGTCTAAACCACATCCTGCACCCATCTGACCTCATTAACATAGCAAAGAAAACCCAAATCAGATTACATCCTCGGGGTAGGGCTTAAGATTCCAGCACATATTTGGGGGGGGACACAATCCAATCCTTCACGTTGGTTGCCTCTGCCTCAGTTTCCCCTGTTACTGGCAAATGCAGCCACTCAGCGGATCTCTATCCGAGGGCTGTTGGGATGACTGAAGGAATGAGCACTTGCGCGTCTCTTAGAACTGAGCCTGCCTTGTGACAATATCAGATACCTGCCTGGTTTGAGGCGTAGGTACCACAGAGCGCCTAATTGAGAAAGGAGGGTGGGTGAGGCTGCCCGGCAAACACAGCATTGTAAAGAGACAGGCAGCAGAAGGAGGTTCCAGCTTTTCTATCCCGAATCTCCACAGGATGATGGTCCTGTGATACATGAACTTGGTGAAATGCATGCTCGGAGTGTTTATGCGTCTTGGGGGGTGCCCCTTCAGGGAACCACTTTCTAGCTCACCTGGTTCGGTCGACAAAGGCGTGTCCTATTTTCTGGAGAGTGGCTTGCAACCGGGAACTGCAATTCGCTCCCTAAGAGCTTTTTTGGGGGAGAGCCAATCCATGTCTCTGGCTTCTGGAGCTGAGGCCCTACAGGTGAGATTCCCAGCAGCCGCCTGGAGCAGAACCCCAGATCCAAGCAGGGTCAGCGAAGCCTGGGCTCCTCCACAGGCCAGCTGAGAGTTCGGCCTGGGTGTGCAGGCTGACCCTGCTGCTCAAGGCCGGTTCTCCAGGTCCCGGTCCATCTCTACCCCCTCTGATCCCAACCTTACACCGCTCTCATTGCCCAGACAAGGCTCTCCGCGGCGGCCTCGGCAAAGGCTATGAACACGCCCATTCTGCCATTGCTCCGTTTCTTCTTTTTCTGTGTCCCCTTCAAATGACTGTTACCAGGATTAATCACAACCTTTTCCAGCAGAACAACCCGCGCTGTGTGTGTCTCCCTATATAACACAGGGCTCCCAGGGCTCAGAAGGGAAGGCTGCCATGCCTGCAGGCAGACTACAGGGGGCGATGGGTAGAGGCAGGGACATCCGAGGACCTTTCTATGAAGAGGCAGCGCTTGCCCCTGACACGTTCCTCTGGTGGACAGCGCTAGCCAGAGCGCTCCCTGGGACGATGCTGGCAGGGGTGGGTAGACTCACTGAACAGAAGCATCTGCCCCTTCTCTCATCTGATGATCCGCTGGGCTGCCTAAGTCACAGACGTAAGAGTGGGAAACATCTCCCAACAGGTCTAGGCCAAGCCCCTGGTTCTGCGTGAGGAAGCTGAGGCCCACGGCCTTGATGTGGCCACTCGGCTGCTGAGAGCCACCTCCTCCGCTCTCGCCCGCTGCCTGTCCAAGGGAGGGCCGAGAGCTCAGGGTTACAGGACACACTTCCGGAAATCTGAAGCAAGTTCAAGATGCCGATGGTCGAGACCCCAGGGTAAAGCCACCCTCTCTGCACACGAGGGGGCCCACACACACCAGGAAGGCCCTGTCCTGCCCCCTGGCAGCTCAGAAGCCACTCTCGGTCAGCTCTGGCTCCTAGTGACCCCACGCACCGCTGAGCGAAGCGCTGCCCTGCCCCGCACCCTCGTCATGATCTCTGGCATGCATGCACCGTCCCTGCAGCCGCTCCCAAATGCCTCCCAGCCTCCAAAGAACACCTCCCTGCCATCAAGTGAGTCGATGCTGACTCACAGGGACCCGGTAGGCCAGAGCAGAACTGCCCCATCCTTCTCCTGAAGAGCAGCCAGTGGTGTCAAACTGCTGACCTTGTGGTGAGCAGCCCAATTTTTAGCCACTGCTCAACATCTTCCAGCGTTGCTGTTTCAGGCCGTATCCTGCTAGGGTCCACCGCCGTTTCCTCTACCTACTTTCAGAAGTCGGTCTCCAGGCCTTGCTTCCTAGTCTGTCCCAGTCTGGAAGCTCTGCTGAAGCCTGCCCAGCCTGGGTGGCCCTGTTGGTATTTGAAATCCAGGTGGCCTAGCTTTGGCCCTACAGCAAAATGCAAGCCACCACTGTGTGACAGTCTGACAGACGAGTGGTAGCCTTAGACTGCTCCAAGAGCCCCAAACTCATACCCCAGAAGGAAACTGAGAGTGTTTTCCAGGGGCCCCAAACATGGCTGTCGCAGTAATGCTCCCCGCATCCCGCCAGCGCAGGGTCCATGCCGGCCTGAGCCTGCACACACACACACACACACACACACACACGCCTCCCTCATCTGACAGTGCAGGAAGAGCCTCAGGGCTCCACCGGAGTCTGTCTGTCAGTCTGTCTCCTCCTGCACAGTCAAGGCCCTGCTGCTCGGGCCCTCTCCCATCCCAGAGGAGGCCGCTGGGAGGTGGCAGGGCAGTCCCAGGCTGGAAGTCTGTCCCTACCCTGCTAGGGGTTCTATGGAGATGTGGGGTGATCCTGAGGAAGACCAGGGAAACCCTGAGGGAGGACCCCAGTGTGACCCCCACCCCACCCCCTGTGGCTGCCGCCACGTCACCGGGCTGCTCTGGGCCCTCAGTCGGAAAGGCAGGCAAGGGCAGAAGCTAGCCTGGCCTGGCCCCTGCCAACACCTGCAGGCGGCGGGTCTACAGAGAAGCCAGCCCTGGCAGTCCTGACTCATCAAGGCCCGGGCAGCACCTCGTGCTTGCTCAGCCCTGGAAGCATCCTCCACCGCTATCCCCAGGCCAGGGAACTGGTTCGTCAGCCCTGGCCTCGGACTCCACCTCAGCCCATGACTTCTCGGGAGTGAGGGCACCAAGAGTCCTGGGCGGGGGGCACAGGACTGCGGGCAGCGGCCACCTTTGCCTCGGAAGGAAGAGCTTCTGGTGAGCATGTGTGTCACTAGGAGCCAAAGGGAGAGCGTTGCCCATCTTACAGATGGAGAAATGAAGGCAGAGGATGATCCATTGAAGGCCAGACACAGTTAGGATTCCAGAGTCCGTCCCTGCTGTTCTGCCTCCGACACCAGCCTGCCTGGTGTGTGTGTGTGTGTGTCCATGGCCACAGGGTGGACAGGAGGTCTGGCAGCATCGAGATGGGGGCGGGAGGTGTTGTCTGGCCTGCCGAGCAGGTGCAGGGGCACACCCAGCCACCTCTGCTTCCTCTGGTATGGGTTCGCTTCCTCCAGGTGCCCTCCAGGCCTGCTGCCTCAGCTCCCACCCATGCCACGGTCATCCCACGGCCACCAGGTCTGTCCTTTCCCAGGCCACAGAGAGGACCAGAGGACAGAGATCTTGCCTGGTGGGTTCATGAGCTCTGTGGGTCCCCGCAGCTGAGGGACTGTCCTTGGGAATGAGGACCACAGAGGAGCGTGCTGGGAGGCTTCTGGCCCTGGATGATAAACCCTGGTTGCCTGGGAGGCTGAAGGGCAGGCCCAGTCATAAGGGCCATTCCCCTGTTTCTGAGGTCCTCCTGGCGTGTGGGCGCAGGTGCTGAGGGCGGGAGGCCTCCGGGAAAGGGTCGTCTCTCCCCAGAAGCCTCTGCTGCCCAGTGGAGAGTGGCTTGCAACCGGGAACTGCAATTCGCTCCCTAAGAGCTTTTTTGGGGGAGAGCCAATCCATGTCTCTGGCTTCTGGAGCTGAGGCCCTACAGGTGAGATTCCCAGCAGCCGCCTGGAGCAGAACCCCAGATCCAAGCAGGGTCAGCGAAGCCTGGGCTCCTCCACAGGCCAGCTGAGAGTTCGGCCTGGGTGTGCAGGCTGACCCTGCTGCTCAAGGCCGGTTCTCCAGGTCCCGGTCCATCTCTACCCCCTCTGATCCCAACCTTACACCGCTCTCATTGCCCAGACAAGGCTCTCCGCGGCGGCCTCGGCAAAGGCTATGAACACGCCCATTCTGCCATTGCTCCGTTTCTTCTTTTTCTGTGTCCCCTTCAAATGACTGTTACCAGGATTAATCACAACCTTTTCCAGCAGAACAACCCGCGCTGTGTGTCTCCCTATATAACACAGGGCTCCCAGGGCTCAGAAGGGAA